CAGTGAAAACAAGTTTCTGCTTAAACTCCTTTTTTCTAATTGCGTTCAAATTGCATAGAAATCGTGTTGACGAGTACGTGTACACTCGTCAAACACGATTAACGTGTTAAATGTAAATCAATTAGGATCAATTGTTATCTTTAGAATTTTTTTCAACCACTCAACCGAAATGCAATGATTGGAAAACACGTAGCTTTTATACGAACACGTTTCGCATGCTCGACGATGATGTCGATTCTGAAACGCGTGCCCGATATTTTGGGTAAACTTTGGGAAATTTGCAGAAAAATCGAACGGAATGTAAGAGAAGCTCGCGACAATATTTGATATGTATTTACGCAAAATTCCGAGCAAATATTGATACATAGTATGCGTGTTATATAAATTCTGCTACTAGCAGACGATATTCTAAATATTTATCGAACCTGTTCGATTGCTGGGGACGAGCTCACGTGCAGCTTGTCTATTTTGCGAAATATTATCGCGATCTGTGAATTTCACGCTATAGATTTTAATCATTTTCATGTTGTCGCATATCTTGACGAAGAATTGCAATTTAAAACGATATCTGTTCTAAAATATCGTACATATTTTTCAATAACTTCCGAAAACAAACTCTGTGAAAATCGGTCAATACCGAAATACATCATTTGCATCAATTTTACACACGTTTGTGTTTCTGTTATTTATTTTCAACTTTAATCGCGCATCTGCCATATAAATAATTTACAACAGGTTTTCATATCGTTTGAATAAAACATTCATTTACATAATTTAATTAATAGATTACAATAATAATTATAATGTTTATATCATAACAATTTATTTTATATAATAATACGTTATGTAACATATACTACGTTATGCAATTATTTATATAATGCATCATATTATTTGACTCGACGGTGAAATAACCTTGCATAAATGTAGCAAATGATTTTTCCCCAAATTATGATGTTTAATTAATTATCTATCGGATGAAATAATTTTCTCGTTTTGTTTCGTGTTTTGCATTTGTTTTCATAAATAATTTCTCATAAAATTTTCATTTTATTGCGTAATCTTCACGTTACAAAATAATAATTATTTATTACTTTCACTGAATTAAACGTAATTTTTAAAATGATAAATTAGTGGAAATGACTGTTCTTCACCTTTATCTCTCAAACAGATTTGATTCGACCCTGATCTACGACATCTCCATACGAATATTTCGATCGAGGATCGTTACGCGCTTTAATTAATCCGAAATCACCGTACTTACTTAAGGTGCTAATTTACAGTGACTTAACCTGTATAGCGGAACTTACGTCTAAGACAAGAGCTGATGCAATGCTCGCTCACCTTTGTATTTAACATGTACGCATATACCATACAGGCATACATGGCGAGCATACGTGTACATAGTTGCATGAATATGCAACGTCGAAATGCGTGTAATGTTCAGCCATCATACCTAATATACGCATTATGGTTGACATGCATACAGGCCTTACAACAGTCGCATTACAGACAAACGTATCTCTGTGCACACTTTTTAAATGTTGATGATAACAACGATTTGGCATATCCGCTGCAAAAGTCAAGCACTCTTCGTTGATAAATTTACTCGGGACTCGATAAATATACTGGAATCTTGGTAAATTACAGTCGTGAAGTATCGAAAATATCGATCTTAGAATCTACATACATTGCTATTCAAAAGTGTTGCGATAGTTTTTGTTTCTAATGTTCAGTGTATACTTTAGATAATAAAATCTCAGTACGATAGATGATAAAACTTTTAAATTGCACGTATATTTTACAGTATTATTGTTATATTTGGTTATAATTGGTTCTTGCAAATATAGTATGATAGTCGAAATTAGTTTTCATTGAACGAACAAAATTATTTAATTATTTCTTTTAAATTTTACAATATGTAACACAGCGATATGATTTATATAAAAGTTTATATTATATTTTTTTATTATATTCTATTTTTTTGAAGATGCGTATCGCGAAAATAATTTTTCGCTTGGAACACGCCAAACAATCTTTTGCATAGTGTAATGTACAAAGTCTAACAAGTGATTTTTCATTAGAAATATTTTTCTTATCAAAATCTTCAGTCTATGAAACATTATTATATATATATGTTATTATATAACATTATATCAAATATAATATATAATAATTATAGTACAATAACTAAACAATTCTGTTATATGTATCTTGCTATTAAACCTTCCCTTTTTTCTAAAATAGATAATCTTTACAGTTTTGAACATGCTCTGTCACGAAAATTGCTTTTTGTCCTGTCATCCTGGATTACTTCAGTTAATTTAGTTTCTTACACCTTATTTAAAAGCACACATAAATAAGTTCAAAATGCAATCTTATGAAAATTTATATCTGTTATTTTTTTATACTTTAAAACACCTATGGCAATTGTATAAAAGATTTTGTGATTTTTCTTACAGTTTATATTGTTTATTTTTGCAAGCAAATGTATGTAAAAATTGCCACTCTCTTAGAATCTGTATAACTTTGATTAATAAATAAATTAGTGTCTATGAAATTTATTTAACTTTCTCTTTTTCTTGAAACATTTGAAACTTATATATAAACTTTTGTGACTAATTGCACATCAGCTTCTGTTGAATACTATAAATCTTAGAGTATAGACATCTTTTAAATACCTCTTATTAAGACTATAATATCATAAAATGTATCATATCATAAAAAATAATATCATAAAAAATAAAAATGAAAATAAAAATTATTCTCCTGTACTGAAATTAATATTTTTACTTTCGTTACAAATATCTTTTACTTAAACATATCACAAGTGTGCTTTGAAACGTTACTATTTCATTATAACATTGAAATACAATTTGATTCTGCTTCTAGCCAATCGTGCATTATTTATCTATCTGTACGGAGGAAAGCATAATAAGAGGGTATCGTTTCCATAAAGCTCGTTACGTACTTATTTCATTATCAACATTGTTATTGTAAAGGATTTCAATTTCTCGTTCGAATTACGGTCATACGAAATTGCGAATTTTGCGATTCGTAATCAGGCTCATATTAATTACCAATCGTTACGAGCCGCAGGTTTGCACGTTCGTTCGTTAAATATGGCGAATAAACGTTTCACTGCTATTTTGTTTCGTGTACTCGTCCAACAAATAAATTCCGCGATGTACAAATTTGTATCGGATATACATCAGTTACGTCAATTATTAAATTCAACTCGATATTTCCGCGCTCTTATGAATTTCCTTTGGATGAAACGTAACAGCGGAAATTATTATTTTCGCTTTTTATTAAATCGTGTTGTAAGTCTTCTTAAAACTTTGATGTAAAATTATGGGAAGATTATTTAACTATAGGACAGTCAAAGAAAATTGAAAAATTGAATTCATCTTTTTTGAGTTTTAATGATTTTCTTAAAATTTCATTACACTTTTACTAGTTTACACAATACTTATCAGAAATTGATGGTTGAATTTCAATACTTTTGGCAAAAATACATATCACCTATTGTATATAAGTAAAAATAATAAGAAATAAAATAATACATTAGTCTATATAATATAATGTGATAAATATAAGTTTATTATTTATATTTATATATATATTTTTAGTTTATTTTAGATTATTATTTATATTTATATGTATATATTTATATTATTTATATTTAGTTTATAAGTAATTTAGTTTTTTGTTATTATTTTTTCTTTATATGCTTTCTTTACCATATAACATATGGAAAATTAAGAAATGTAATAATCGAGCTTGTGTTAGTCCATTTACGTCTATACAAATATAAATTATTACTCTCATCTAGTTATCATTTTATTAATTTGAAAATAAAAGAAACTAATTACCATAGGAATATCGAATACGAAATTCTGTCTTAATAAAATGAATTTTTTTGGATTAATGGTTAAAGTTTATTCGTTATAATTGGAGAGGAGGATTCAATTGAAGAATGAAAAAGATTGAAAACTTTTTACTTAACAATTGAATGAATAAATGTTCGTTGTATTATGTATACAATAGTTCACAAAAAATATTCGAAAATTGGCCATCTTATGTTATACTATATTGAGAGAAATTTTATGTTATATATAAACATTTTGAAATTTCATTAATATCATAATGAAAGATGACAATTATAATTATTGATAAAAAAAATTCGGAACCAATTTGAATATAGTATGTAGAAATTATAAAATATTTGTTGCAAACATAAAATAAAAAATTAATAGCTGTGCATCTATACATCTGTAGCCATTTAGTTGTATAGTCAATCACAAAACTCTGCTTCAAAATTTCAAATATAATAAAGAAACATAAAGATTTTATTTATATGCACCAACTATATTATAATATAATATAATTTATTAATTATAGTTATACAGAATCTTAAAAGAGTGACAATGTTTCTTATATCTGCTGGAAAACGTAAATAGATCATGACAAAAAAATCACAATGTCTACTATACAATTATCATATGTTAATAAAATTTATTTTCTACAACACACAAAATGTTCCTGCAAGCGAATACTTTCACGAACAACTATAACTTTAATATATAATACAATTATTTAATTGTGATTAAAAAACGTAACAATGCACTTGATATTGCACTTTTAACTTATCATTGTCATTTATGTGACAAATAAAGAATTCTAGTCTTCTTTCATTGGAAACTATCTATAATCTATGGAATCTCTTTCTCTCTCTCTCTCTTGTCGTAAACTCTGTAATTAATTACAAAGATTAAACTCTGTATCGCGGAAACTTCAGAAACCTGTCGTTTCTTATTTATTTATGAGTTGCGCCTTTAATTAACAGCTCGCTTAAATTCGAGACAAAGCGTGTCTTTGCTTAACGCGTGCGTCAATCATAAATTACACGCGAGTACACGAGCTCTATGCTCGTCTCGACAATGCCGAGCAGTAATTATTTCTGAAACTTCCCCGAAGTGTATCCCTCCGGCTGAGACATGCTCTAATACGTGAGAATTTCCTTTGCACATCGAAGGATGCTTGGCATTTTATTTAGAAGATCTACAAACAATATCACAGTAGTTTACACTATCGTTTCTATCGAATTTTTAACTACGCTAAAATGAAGGAAGTTAATTTATTTAATACTTCTAATTTCATCAAAAATCTGTTATATAAAAAAAAAAAATCTTTACGAAATAAATTATTATAATGAAAAATTTAAAATAATTATTTGTAAAAATATTATATTAAAAATTCCATTATCACTTATTAACCTTCCAGCAGCAATTAATATCAATATTAATATCAAATTTTTGATCAATATTAGGAATTTTTTTAATAATTCAAATTATTTCAGGATTATTTTTATCAATACATTATTGTCCAAATATTGATTTCGCTTTCAAAAGAATTTCTCATATTATAAAAGATATTAATTCAGGATGATTAATTCGTTTAATTTATATATCGTTAATTTATATCAATGAGAGTTGTCGAAATTCCTACATTCTGGTACATCAAAATTTTATCTAACGATAAGTTAAAATTTTTATTATACAGTGAGACGAGAAAATTAAATAAATTAAATAAATAAATTATTAAAATATATGTTCTGTTCCTTGAAATCTTTACACACATGATACTTTCATTATAAAGTATAGTATAGTATTCTCTGCTGAGAATAAATTCAGTTTTAGTTCTGACAAAACAAGATTTATACAGAGGAAGACTACATTGAACATTGAGAATTTTCAATAGTGATAAACATGTTATCCAAGATTCAGAAGCGTCTGTGTATAATAAAATAAGACATTGTGCTCTCATCGGTGAAATAACAATGAATGCTTAAAATTACATGTGTGCAAAGTGTCTCAATAACTCTGTTGTAAAATGACAATACAAAGAAATGCTTAAAGATTAAATTGAACACATATCATGATGCAAATAACTTTTTTCAGAACTATAATATTCAAGGAATACGTTGAACGTTTTCTAAAATGAAACTTATAATTTTATTTAATACTTTTTTGACATTTAGAAAAGCTAGTTCAACGACTCTAGTAGCAATACCTATAGTAGCAATAATTATATTGATTAATAATTCAATTAATAATTGGCATATTTCGTACGTAGCAAAACTATTTCTGTATATTTCTGTGTACTAAAGATGAAGAGTGCTTGATGCAAAGAATAAATATTAATAGAAATCATTTTAAGCCGTTATTAACATAAGTGATTATTAAATAAAATGATAAATTCGTTAGAACATAATAGTTCTGTGCATATGATGACTTTCATGTACTCTTCAATAATATTAAATATAAACATTTATGTTGAATACATTTTTCGATTAGTATTTGTTTTTTGCTTCAGACGCTATTGCAAAATAATTTATCACAAAGTGCAATTAAATTAGATATGAATAAAACATTCTGTCAGTTTCCAAACTGACAATGATTTCGAACATATGGCCTGAAAAATAGAAGAATAGTTTACCATGTTGCTATATTCGCCAGTTGCTCACATTAATATTCGGATATTAAATATTTAAATTATTACAATTTCGTAAAGTAAAATCGTGCAACAGTAAACTTGGATTCGTTTTCAAGGTTGAAGCTTCTATTTTCAAAGTGTGCCGTTCATTTTATTCTAAGACAATTTTTCTCTCGAAAATGTTATAAATTATCACAGTATGTAAAAACGTTGAACAATTTTGATGAATATTGAGGAAAAACGAATATGTTACGAAAATGTTACGAAAATGTTACTATTTCTCCAGTTTTCGTCGTTTAAGTTGAAATTCAATAAAATAGCGAAGGGAAAAAAATCGTACATCAAGTGTTTGGAAGTCATTGCAAAAGGGAGATTTCAATCTTCAAATCCATTATAGATTTAGTCATGAATAGAAAAAGTTTTTAAAAAGAGAAATTATTAGAAAAATAATCGAATATTTGTTCGGACATTATAGAGAGACTTAAATTGAAATTAATGACGAATCGATTACAAGTAATAGCTATTGCCGAAAATGTATTTAAATAATATTTAAGTAATAAATGAAATAATATTATACCATTTTCTAGTTCAATTACAAATGTGCCAATATTTTGTTGACTTTCAAATTTTTGTTTCTCTTCCTAGTTATAACTTCTGTACATTATATTATTAAGTGTTCTAGAAAAAAATATACGTACAATTTCTTGTTAAAAGTCGCTGAAAACCTTTGTAATCTTTCAGCAACATATGTATAGACAAACATTGTAATTAGATTGAAAGAATTTCATAATAATTTCTAAGATTCTTGTTTTATAAGTTTTATCAATCATTACTTGTTGGAAATCATAACTATGAGCCAATCAAGATTAACTAAAGCACTAAACTAAAGCATAAAATTTCAGAGATCAGAGACATTGAACTAAAACAGTGTGAAAGCTTTATAACGCAATAAATTAATTAATTAATTAATTAACTCTTATGTCCCAACTCATTTCATTAAGTATTCTAATCTCTATTACATTAATAGCTTGCCCTCTGGATTTTGACTATAATAATACCATCAATGGGATATGTTTGTTTTAATTATTAGTAGACTTTATAGACTTTATAGATTCTTTTTTTATAAATTTGTAGAAAATTTTGAAAGTGCCAAGTTGCACAGTAAATATAACATGTAAAATGTTTTCTGCAAGATTTGCTAGCAAAATAATTTCCCAGATATTTATTTTAATTACATTCTGAAATGTATGAATTTGCATAAAAACCCGCTATTTATTGTTCAAAGATATCTTTTATACCATCTTTTGTTTCGTTTCAACAATCATTTTGCTAATTAAATCGATATCGTTGTTTATTTCCAATTATACTGACAAGAGAGATTTCCCCGTGCATTTTGAATAAAGAAATAAAGAAATTAGAAGAAACATACTCGGTATTAATATTATATACGTATATAATATTAATACCGTAATAATATTAATACGTAGAAGTATATAATATTATATGCGTAGAAGTATTTCTAAAAAAAAAAAAAAAATAGGTTGTGCTAAAACTTGTTCCACGTTCTATGATTAATTGGAATCATTCGTCATCCGTTCCAAGGGATAATGAATGAATAATTCTGCAGCTTCTTCTACCAAGGTGTATTCTCTACTTGAAATGCGCATGCACGAACATACTCGCGTTCTCGCGTGTATTTCCCATTCACACACGAACGGACGCTAACACGGATGCACGAATATATTGCCACGAATCGAGCACAGGCCGCTCACTGATCGGTTTGCATGCAAATGCACGAGATCGTAAGACGATCGAGTGATAATTAATCGTTCAAATGTGCAGGAACGTGACATGTGGTTGTTACGCGTGACCGAACGCCTGGACAGAGTGGGAACGCGACGATAATTGCACACCGGAATATTGTCAGAACGTATAAGTTAGTTATTAATCGTAAAAGTAACGATCATGTATCGTGATTTGATCGAGTCTTAAGGTGGCAGGACAGTTTGACGGGCTTAAAAATTAAAAAAATACTTTGGAGAGCTAGAGTAAAAAAAGGAAAGTACATATTTGATTGGCACGAGCTTCTGTGGTTTATTTTAATTTTAACACATTATGACCTATAAAAAGCAACATTGAAAGAGAAAAAAAGAGAGAGTTCTTACTTAACTTTTTAACGGCATCATTTTACATAAATTTTCTTTACGTTGCCTATCGGTGATTCCAGCGAAACAGGATTAGCCGCGACAAAAAGGCAAAGAAAGTTCAAAAGTAAATGATATTCTCTAGGGATTGACGATCAAACATTTCATTTTTGTGAAAATTATGAAAATAGCAGCTATTTGTTTTCGACGTATCGAATTTATGCCAAAAATTTCTACGTTCTTTTGTTTAGATTTTTCGAAATTGTTAAAAATTAAAAAATGTTCGATTCCTAGTAAATATTACAGTAAAGATACGTACCAAGTTTCACAGTAATTGGTTGGTTAGATTCTGAGATATCTTTCACACCGTTTCTAAAACCTAGTTTGGAGAAAAACGTGTTTAAAGTTTCAGAGCGTCATTTTTATTTATATATCGCGGCTCACAGTTCGTACAATTCACAATTAAATTGAATCCACGTCCCCTAATATTCGATTCGCCAAAAGTAATATTTGAATCACACAATTTACACAAAAAGTAAAAGTAATATTTGAATCACACACTTTACAATACTGTTTAAAGTTGTAAACAGTGATACAAATTCAATTATTCTGTATCCGTGGATTGATTATTATACCTCAAAATAAGTCGTTTTAAAAGGACCGTTTGTATCTTACTTTTAAGACTACAAACTACCATTTGAAACAAAACAGAAAAGTCAATTTTTCTGAAAATTTCAAACTGTCCTGACCCCTTAACTTGTTGTTGGAATATTTATTTATTAAACGGTATGGCGTCATAGCGTAAATTGCAAATTGCGCGAAGACGTATGTACATTAAGCAGCATGTAATTAATAACTGTAATTCTGGAGGATAGTCGAAGATCGGTAGGACAATTTGTCAAATTTACTTACCAACGACTGCACCGTATTTATGTGTTAAGGGTTGATCGATCTATCTGCAGCTGCGTAACAAGGAGATAATTAATGGTTCGCGTATGCGCTCGTGCGCGCGAACACGTGCACGTACCACGTGATGAAAGATTTCGTTCACTTTAGAAACTATCAGAGAAAGAACGATAAATTACTGTCGCTAATTATCGGTAGGAACGTCGATCCTCGTAATTATGTTTCTATCAATGGAATTTCTTCTCAATGTAACCATTTAATGTATATCATGGAGATGTTCATTTAATTTTAGTTCATGAATCGTTCATTCATTTACGCGTAGGAAAGTTATAAAGGAATGGTAAAATAAACTCGTGTAAAGTTGACATAAACTTTACTCGTTGAATTTCCTGTATAACTATTTAATTATATTTCTTAATTGTGTTGTGGAAAATGCATGAAGATTGATATACTCTGTTTTAGTGGACACTCTATATACACTAAAATCACAATAAAAAGAACTATTTTAAAATTCATATATTGTTGTTATGTCAAAAACTGATATTATTTCCTAACTATTGGGTTGTAACGTAAATCCTGTTTATACATTTATAATAATGATATACACACGCTTGATGTTATATAATTATATAATATGTACAACAATTATTATATAATATACTATAATATTACGTTTCTATATTTCATCATGTATAATCTTATATTTATATTATACAATAATATAGTAATATTAAGATATATATATAATATTTAAATATAAGATATTATATGTTATATTATATAATAATTATCACATATTTATCGTTACAATGATATATAATTTGTATTATATTATATTTATATTATATAATATAATATTTATATATATAGGTAATATTAAGATGTATATAATATTTATATTATATCTTATATCATATCACATATTTATC